TGGACCAGCAATAGACCCTTTTAAATAGCCTGTCTCTTTCCCTAACCCTTTAATTGATGAAGGGGTAACCTAAAATATATATGTATTAATTGTAACATCTAGTCGTCCAAACTATAAAGAAACTTGCATACATACCTTGGGTCTTAAAGTGGTTAGGAAAAATGGCCAAGTAACATAAGTACTAATGGCATCTCTCAGGCAAATTACGTTTGCTTGTTCATTTGGGACAGGCAATGCAGACTCCTCCTCATGTCGTTGCATTACCTCTAGTGAAACCTTACCATGCTCTAGAGGAAGAGTTATATTATGTAAGGAGTCCCCAACCACTGTATGATATACTCTCTCTCTTGCAACCAGGCAAAAAGGAGTGTTCAAGTATAGCAAACAATCATGATCACCCTACAAAAACAAGTTTGTTATATTCTTTTCTAATTAAATCAAAAGTAGTAAACATTAAAAGGTAAATAATGATTTAGTGGAGCTTAAATACCTTTGGAATGTCAACAGATGAAATTGGTGTGCAGCTACCTCTATGGCTGGTAGAAGGTGCATCTCTAGTCATTTTGGACCAATGTCCGCCATTGGTTGCATTTAAGGAGCAATATTGAAAAGGGGTGGCATACATGGTGGTGGGGAAGCAGTAGGGTTAAGCGGCATCTGACCTGACATGAATGGGGGTAGTTGCTGACCCCCTGTCAACTGTGTCACTACATTGGTCAAATGCGCTACCCAATGCTTCATGTTTAGCCACTCGGTAGATGATAGATGTGGACATAATGGTGCTGGCCCAAATGCAGATTTTTGGATCACACCAAAACCTACAGCCCTCACACGACCTGGATGCTCTCTTACACCAAGTGCTTGAGAGAGTATGTCATTTCGGACTGTTGAGTCAGACTCAGCGTCTAGAGTGACCTGTGAAAAGGTTTCCTACATTAAACATAACATAAACTTGCACGTCATTAAAGGAGAATTTATACACAACTTTATATATAACAAATATACTAACACATTAGCAATAACCCCTTACAAATTCATGAACCATTTTTTGAACTCCTTCGTCATCAATGCCACCTTGTTTGTTGACCCTAGCAGCTTTCCATAAGACATGTTGAGGTACTGAGGTCAAATTAGACCCAGATGTAGAAATCTGCACAAAAATTAAGATTAAATGCCCTCGTTAAAGAAAACATAAGAGTCAAAAAACTGTTACAAGGTTACATATGACACAAAATTACATACCAAATCTTGCTCCAACTGAGCATATCCCTTAGCTGACCGCCTGTATCTGCATCATCTTTCAGCCTCTCAAACATCTTTGGACAATCTCTAAGATCTTCTTCGACAACATTTGAAATTTGTTCAGCATGGCCACTCTCATTTGTTCTAAATGTCTCTGATTAATTGACACTCGATTCCATGTTAGTTGATGTACTTCCACCTTGTATCTCACTGTGCTTTGTCCAATAAGTATATTTTTCATCTATTCCATTACACATTAGATGTTCTTCTAATTCTTCCGCATTTACTTGTAACATATTCAAACAACACCAACAAGGACAGGGAATATGGTTGAGATCAGTTGCATGCTTAATTGTAAATCTAATAAACTCTTTGACTCTGTCTTCATATTCTTCACTTAAACGATAAGCTACCATCCAACTTCGATCCATATTTGCTCCAACTACGGTTACGATATTTACAAATGTGAATGTCTTATTAACTCTCACATGGTAGGGCCCTATCCCATTTGAGAACAAACTTTTTCATACCTTAATTAACAATTGCTACTTAAATGTTATATTTTTTACTTGACAAAATTTGGGCAGCATTTTACATTAGTCTTCTAGTACACAACTTGAATATGAAATGATTTACCTCAATCAAGCATGCACCAAGAGATAATGAGAAAGCTCCAAACTCAAATTTTGTTAAGTATTAATTACAACATTATGAGAAGCAAATGCTAACCAATGAATGAATATGTTTGTTCACAAACTATCCAACTTGGACAATTTGAGATTGAAAATAATGATTTCAAATTATTTTCAATCTCAAATTAACGGGAAACTAAGGTTTCACTCAATTTTAGATTTCAAATCATACCCTACAAATTTAATCACTAACAATAATCATGCATTCATAACATTCTATAAGACAGAACATCAATTTCATTCATACACAGAGCAAATAGACATAACAGGGGCAAAACAAACAACAATATCTTGTTAAGTACATAAACTTATTTCAATTCCCAAAACAACATATATAACAGTATGTTCCCTGCTTTCTGTTTATATTGGAACAACAAAACATGAGACTTCAATTTAGAAAATCAATTTTCACAACAATCAAATGCATTTTCACATTAATCACCTACATTACAGTCAATTAGTGTTGAATTTTTACATTAATCTCTTGCATTATAATTAACCAGTGTCCTATTATCATGTTCAACAAATCCTAAAAAATCATCCGAACAGTATTTTAGAGGTTAACTAACCTAAGGTTCAACCTTTTCAAATTAATTTTTACAAAATAAAACCTAATTTCATGCTTTCTGTCAGGCAATAATGGTTAAAATTTGAATATAATCAGTTCATACAAACACAACAGCACTAACCTGGAATGAAAGAAGTTGCACTAATTTGTACAGTTCAGCTGAAGCCACTTATGGAGGAGAGACGTTTGTAACTGTTCAACATCAATAATACAAGTGTGTTTCAGTGAACAGAGAGAATAAGAGAGTGCGAAAGTCCAAACATAGCCAGAAAACAAAGAAACAATTATGAATATACCTTAAAATTCTGAATGCGATGTCAACGGTACTTGTTCTTCTGCAAAAATTTCTCAGAAAACACTGAACACAGACAAAAATTTGAAGTACAGACTTGGCGCGGCGACAAGGACAACCAGATTAGGGCTTAGGGTTTATTTTAAAAATTGTAACATCTGAGAGCAGTTAAGAAATAACAGTTCTCTAATCTACACCTTTCAGAGCAGTTCTACATGTCAACCACTCTGTAAAGTTGTAAGAGCGGTTCCACGTGTGAACCACTTTCTAAAGTATAGCACTTCTGCGAGCAGTTATTTAACAACTGCTCTCCAAAATACAATTACCAGAGCAGTTCCAGATGAACCGCTCTCAGAAGTACATATTATAGAGCGATTCTTGTAGAACCGCTCTAAGAAGTTAAATTTGAAGAGCAGTTAGGGCGGAACCGCTTTCTTAGTGTTTTAAACAAAGCGGTTTTTACTAACCGCTATCTAATTTTGGCGCTCCAAAAGCTAATTTCTGGCGTAGTTAAGCGAGTTTCAACAAAATTTTTAGGTTCATCATTGTCTATAATTCGCTTAAGCGAATAATGTGTAGCTTAAGCAAAAATTATAGCGAATGAATTCCTGTATTTTTTATCATTCAACCCCATTCCTTTAGTTGTTACTTATATTTTGATTAATCCAAAGTGTTAATTTCTAAGATAATTAGAATGAGTATATGATATTTTCAAATTTAATTGGTTCAAATTACAAATATCACAATTCAAAGTATGAAAATATAAAGAGTATGGTTATTTAGGTTTAGGGTAGATTTGAGAAACTTGTTTACATGCTATTAAGGAGGGGTAAATAAGGAGGAATTGAAGTAGCATAAGTAAAAATTGAATAAAGCTTCTACGACAATATTCTAAGTGATGATTACTTGATTCCATTTGCTTTTTTTGCCTTGGATATATCTTTTTAGACTTTTATCACTTAAATTTCAATCACAGTCACTCAATCTATTGTCAAACTAGTTGTAGAAACACACACAAAAAAAATTGAACTTGCTTCAAAAACAAATATAGGAGTGAGTTTAAAAAAATATGATTGAATTTTACATAAATAAACAATTATGTTCTTAAAAAATAATTGTGTTAAAAGAATATTTTAAAGGACCTATTTTAAATATCTAAAGATTGAAATCTTGAATCTACAAAATTTATTAAAGATTAAATTACAAATACTACAATTTTTAAAATTTGTTATAACATGTATTTTGTTTATTTATTCATAAGTTATATACTACACTAACTCATGGTAATCTTCACTTATTATTATTATTATTATTATTATTATTATTATTATATTGCCACTTTTAGAGGATTACAATTATCTTTTACTCAAGATAATCTTGTTTTAAGGAATTTCTACGAGAAGACGTGACTAAATCTCACGGTGCCTCTTTTCTCAGGCACGGTTCTTGTTTTAAGTGCAGTGCAAAAGAGAATTTTGACATATGCCTATGATAATTAGAGATAAATTTAATAGCTTCTCCTGTCTAAGGAAAAGAATCAGAATCAGAGAGTAAGGGTTTCTATGTATCAGCAATCACTCTCACATGTTGAAATATTAAAAACAAGAAAGAGAGGCAATTAATCTTATAACTCACAAGTACCAAATTCTCAAAGGAATAATAATTTATATAATTGATCAACCAGCTGTGGCATTATTTCTGTCTGTCTTGTCTTCACAATTATGTATCTTGCTCATTTCATATGTAACATTATTGTGCTCATCTAAGGGTTTATCTTTAGGAATATGGGAATGAGGCATCAGATGCACTATAAGCTGGATTCTCAATAACTTACAATTAATTGCTTATGATCATTTTCAAAAAAAGTTTATGCCACTATGAGCCTAAGTGGGATCTGAATCAGGCGTCAGATTCCATTAAAATGGAAAGTTATCGAAAATTCCACAATTGTTCGGACAATAAAGGAAAAAAAAAAAAGAGATCGAGAGAGATAAACTTCACATGATTATCTTTTCTAAACTTAGTTTAAAATTCTTGCAAAATATATATATAGCTTAATTAGTTACAAACGAGACTCCTTTTGATTAAATTAAAGGGCAAGGAAAATTTACCAACGAGGGACAAATTCATGGAAGAAAAGTGACAAGGAAGAAAAAAAAGTCATCCCTATTCACATTTCAGATAGCTTATGCTTTTGTTTCTCTGATTAATTGTTAGCTTTCATGGGAGGCTCAGGGATAGGCATGCTAATAACAATCGAAGGGTGCTTGTTGATTTCTGCATTCTGATCAGATTTTGCTTCAGATGATTGATCAGTGGAATCAATAAGTGCCCCTGGATTAATTCGATCAACCTGAGCACCCTTTAAAGGCAAGGGTATATCCTTTGCCACTTTGTTCTCCACTTGTTCTTTATGCTTTCCCCACAGAACTGAGTATAAGCCTATTACAATCAAGATGGCACCAATCACACTGCATCCACAAGCCCAAAATCAAACTCTCCCGTTAGCTTATTGAGAATTTAAAATATAAAGTTGGAAAACTAAATAAACTTTTATTCTTTTGATTTTTATAATTTAGAAAATTTATTTTTTATCACTAAAATCTACACACATGTATCTTCTGTATGAGATAACTCTGCTCACACATGAATTAGTTCAAACTCAACATTTTACTTAAAGGTAATATACTACTAAATTAACTGTTGTTGATAAATCTATATTTAAATTTGTTATAACATATGATTTACTTATAACTATTGTAATGTTTTTAAAAGTAATAAAAAGTGACAACAGAGATCGTAAAATATAATACTTATTTTTTGGAGCACAGAAAAGGTAGTAATTTATTAAAATTTATTGTTGGAGATAGTCTGAAATGTGAATATTATACATGGATCGATATATTAAACTTTTGGAGTATGTATTCACTGCATGTATGGATACATTAAAATAAGAATGCGCGCACGAAGAGAGGATTTATGTTTCATTACTTATACATCTCCTTAGTTAAAAAACGACAACTTAATAAAAGTCCCTTTTTATTTCTTTAGGTGGATAATTTTCCTTTAATTTTAAAGGATATTCCACTCTCTTTAATTTTTATTATTTTTTTAAAGCATATTAATAAAATAAACAAACGTAGAAAGAAACATGTAATTAATAATATAGATAGTATTTTTATTCCATCCGTAGAAATTTACCGCCAATTTGTTTAAAGATAGGATACAATTTCTAGTCAGTGCAAAGCTACCAAATTGACGCGAAATAAATTATTTAATTTGAATTGTTTTTGTTGCATATTTCCATTATAAAATATTTTATATAATAATGGGTCATATTTGGTTTAATGTATTTTTAAATTTTATTTTTTTTACTTTCTTTTATATTTTCTTAAAACTAATGCCTTTTTTTTTTTTTGTAAGATTTATGTGGGGTTGGGATTGGAACTAATGATGATAGGAATTTACCCTCCAAGAAAAATATTCTCTGCTAGGACAAAGGAACCCATGATGGCGACAATGATCATCATCAGAGGGCTGAATGCAGTAGCGAAAACAGGGCCTTTCTTCTGAATTACCAACCCTTGTACGTAGTATGATATGCTTGATGTAACAATCCCCTAATACAAATATATCAAAATAATCATATTATTAGCATAATAGTATTAGAAACAAAATAAAACACATTAACATATATGGATCATATGATGTTTCTTACAGCATAGGCAGCGGCAAGTAAATTCATATCCCAGCCAATTGTCCACACGGAAGCCTTGTGTTCCATAACAAAGGTAACAGCAATAGCTTGAAGTGTGCCTATGAAGCAGATTATTGATGTGAGGCTTAGTTGATGATTTTTGTACGTTTCTATGGCTTTGGCCTGTCCAATAACATGAACCAAAAATGTTTATTACGTAACGTCAACAAACACACACAAACTAATTAGAGAGAGAGAGTGTGTGTGTTTAAGTAAAAAGTTGCCAAATTTTTGCTTTATGGGGTCTTACTTGTAAAACAAAAAGGGCTGCCCAGGCAAGGGCGGCAAGGATTAGGAAAATGGAGCCTATGAACCAATCCTTGTCTGAAGATTTTGTGGTATTTGTTGCACTATTGATTTGCCTATGATGAGATTCATGTTTGGTCCACACCATCTCCACAATAGGACCTTTGTATAAGGTCATAATCATGGCCCCAGCCACAGTCACCAAGGTTCCCACCACTTTCGCTTGGCATCTCACCTTCTTCATGTTGATCTTCTCCATCCTTTTTATAATCCATCCATATAATTTAAATAAACTAAAAATGCATAGGGAGAAAAAAAAACTTAGAATATAGTTTATAATGGAATGTTCTAAATTTTACCGGCATAAAACTGCCATCACAAAAGTCATGGCAGGAAGCACGTTGCTCATTGCACATGAGTATGTTGGGGATGTTAATTTCAACCCAGCATAGTAGAAGTTTTGATCTATCACAGGCCTGTGTACAATAGTAAAAAAAAGTATGCAAGCAGCGTTTTATTATTCATCTATGTATATTCTTTGTGCTATAATACAATTGTGTGTCAATGTTTAGATTTAGCTTAATCATTTGAAATAAATAATCGTTTCTTCTTTTCATATTGTCAACTCTTCAAGAAAGCCTTAAAAAATGATTATTTTTTCAAAATTTTGAATAAAATAAGCACATTGCTCAATATACGATTAGTGCATTAAACTAAGGATGAACTCACCCCAGCAGAGCGAGGACGAAAATTTGCATGAAAATTGGAAATGTTATCTTTGGCTGAGATTTCCTGAAAAATTGAAACCACGAATTAACATTATTTTGTAAAGCTTCTGTATCAATAAAAGACTAAAAACATTACAAGGCTTGTTAAGGTGCATGGTTTGTGATATGAACCTTTCAAAGATGAAGGCGAATGGAGCTATGACAGCAGTTGCAAAGGCGTGGCGATAAACAACGAGGACATAGTGATTCATGCCTCGGTTGAGTGAAACCTTAGTGATAATGTTCATGCCTGCATAGCCGAACTGTAAAGCGATCATGGCAAAGTGGTGTTTAGAGTTCTCAAAGAAGTTGGCGCAATTTCTAAGCTTTTCAGTGGCCATTGTTGTTATAATGAGTTGGAGAATTTGAAGTGGCTTATGCTTAGAAAAGGGTGAATATCAAATATTAGAGAACCGAAGGAAGAAGGTGTGTTTCTTCCTAGGGAATAGCATGGGAAGGAACCTATTATTTATAGCAACATAGAATGAATTGTCTACGTCATAAATGTTCTTATCATCGAAGATATGTATCATTGAAAGAGGGTACAAAGGGTGAACCTCGGAATCACTTTCATGGGGGCAGCTCGACAACGCATATAGGGGTTGTTTGGGTAGAAAATTTGAAAAACAAAAATAAATGTGTGCTTATTATGATAATATAAATGGAATCAAAATTAGGTCAGCAAACTTCGACAATAACAATTTATATGAACGAGTTAATTTCCTTTGCAGAATCGTATCTTCTTTTCTAGAATAATTTCCTTTCACAATATCCCAACTTGAATCTGAGGATTTCGTATGTTATTCGTTTCATATTTTTAGTTCTTTTTATTATTATTATTAAGAATCAAATTAAAACTAGTAATATATATATATATATATATATATATATATATATTATACTTATTTTTATACTATCAATAATTTTATACAAAATATATTTTTTATCAATCCAACTGTGATTTTATATTTATGCTGTATATTTTGTAAAAATAAAACAACTAAAAATTTTCAATAGTTTTATTTTTATGTATTTCAAAAGTATATACGATATTAATTTTATTACTATTATGAACATGGTTTATATAGTTAAAATTTTTAATTTAAAAGTTAGTGTTTAGATAAAATCATCTAATAAAAAATTATTAGATTGTAAGACGGCAATGGTAGAGAAAGCGATCTAGTGTTTATTTGTGAGGAAGTTTTTAGAGGAAAAAGAAAAAACGGAATATTTTTTAATTTTAAATTAAAAAATTATATATTATTAATTAAGTTTTTGTTAATATATTAATTTATATCTTTATTTATAAAAATATTAATTTTAAATATATTTATTTAAAATATAAATTTTATCCTCCCCTTCTTTCTCCTCTAAAATCTTCTTTCTTAAATAACTCCTTAAATTTTATCTCTTGTGTGATAATTTCAAAGAAGAAATTGTAGAAGGTAAATTTTTAAATTAAATTATTTTTCATATATTATAATATTTTTGGTTTTATGTAACACTAATTTTTAATGGTTATAAAATATATAGTACACAATGACTTTTATTGTAATAGCTAATAATATATAATAGACAGTTCTTTGTAAATTATTGATGGTTTTATGGTTAATGGTTGTAAAATTTTATCTAAAATATAGAATAAGTGACGATCTTTAAAGTATGAATATTTTGACTATCTATGGTTGTAAAATCGTTCTTAAAACATGTAATAAGCAACCGTTTTTAATTGTTGATTTATTTTATTTTATTTTTTGTAAATAGGTGTAAAATTATTCCTAAAACATAAACTAGATAACAACGTTTAAAGTACAATCACTTTTATTGTTAATAATTGTAAAACCATTCTTAAAATATAGAATAAGTAATATTTTTTAGCCGTTGCTCATTTTCTAGTCAATGATTATTAAAATATTCATAGATAGATAACATTTTTTTAGAATATAAATATTATCTTCTCAACAATCATAAAATTATTTATACAATATGTAATAGATAATAACTTTTAAAGTACAATAAGCAACTATTATTAAAGATGTTAAAATAGTGAAAAAAAAAAGGTTATTTTGTAAATATAAGCAGCAGCAGTAGTAATTAATATAGTAAGTGTAGTAGGAGTAGGACTAGGAGTATTAATAACAGTAGCACTACCACTGCTACAAAAATTAATTATACTAACTAATTAAAATATCTCCAAATTAAACTTGGTGAGTGAGTTCAATTAAAATCAATGGACCATTTAGTAGTTCAAATTGTTACCATTTCTTAAAATCAACAAGTTTTATTACCTGTGGCTTAAGTAGCAAAATTATTTCCAATTTTCTTCACAACTGTCCTTTTGATCTTCATAATTTTTCATTTATCATCACTTTCATGCTTTTTCTCATTAAGAAAACAAAAAATTTCTAAAGTTTTATTTTTCTCATTTAAAAAAAATAGTCACAAGTTTATTAAAAACAAATAAAATCAGATAACTGAATTTGCAAAATACGTTTAGTCCTATTAACTTCAAAATATTTTTATGATACTTTTAGATACATAAATTTTAAAAAATTTAAAAATAATTTTTATTACCACTTATTAATGACGTGACATGCATTTACCCTTATTATAATACTGGATAGCATTGCGTATCATGGCCAGATCCATGTCATGCCATATCACAAAATGATATATAGCAAGGACATTTTTAAAAATTTCAAATTTGGTCGATCAAAACTAATTAAAAAAATAAGTTTAAATTAAATTAATATATTTATATAAATTGTGAGTATTAATTATTAAATAAGAGTATCTTTAACTGAGAGCATTTTTGGGATTATTTTTTCTACATTAGGTATTTGCTTTTAAATTTTATATTAATTTAAAATTTTATTTTCTAATAATTTTTAAAAAAAATTCTTAATATTATATAATATTTAGTATCAATAATAATTTAAATATATTCTTTTTAAAATTTATACAATATATTAAATTTAAAAATAGTCATATTATAAAGGGACATAATCTTTTTATACTAGTGTAAAACTCTGATACTTGATTTGAACCTTTTATTTAACTTACATCTAACGGTAAGTGAAATAATAAATTATAATCTATTAGATGTAAGTTAAATAAAAGGTTAAAATCAAGTGAAGAGTTTTTAGACTTACACTATTATTGAGAAGATCTATCCCTATTATAAATATACATTTTAGTTAGTTACTCTAAAATTTAAATTTAATTTAATAACATACATGCAATGCATAGAAAAATTACAAGTTTAATCATATTTATAAAAAACTAGAGATACATAATATATTGGCAAAGATAATTGTATCGCTGAAAAGAAAATGAGATGTTTTTGTATGGTAGAAGTTTCTTAACAGTACTTAGGGTCGAAGAGAGTTTGAAGTGGAGCACCAAAGATTAATGGGTATCTAATCATCTCCAATGATTAATGATCACAGTCCCAACAAAGGAGTGTATCCTTATAGAGACTTGTCTAGTTGCATATGAATACGTGTGCCAGTCAAAGTCCAATCCAAAACGTATACATTTCGTATCTCAATTTGCGAATTATGAAAAATGCAGATGAATTGCTTTCTCGTTGTTACTACTCCTTCAAACAAATGAATAAATATATCAGTTTAATAGATCATGCATATGTGACGAGAATTATGTTTAATTTACTTTAATATTAACTTGGCATAACTTTATTTGTTTCCTTTGAAAAAGGATATGTTCTTGCATAATTATAAATCTTTCAAACGCTGTGTATTATGTCTTTCCAAACAAAACCTTTCTTTATGTAAAAATAAACAGTGTGGTTACAGTAGCAAGGCAAAAGAAGCTTTAGTTGGACACCATAAAAATTGTAGTTATATATGGTAGGCCACTCAAATCAAGTTGGGGGAAGAAGTCACATTCTGCATTTGTTGCAACCCACTGTGACACCCCAAAGGGGAGAAACAAGCTTGTTCTTGTTTATTGTTTTAATCTCTCTATGCTTATCCATATGCACATACAAGCTTGACTATCTATGTGGTTTCCAATATTACAAAAGTCAAATATCTTAAATTATATTTATCTACTTTACAAATCAAATTTTTAAGGTCTAAATTTAAAGAAGAAAATAAACTTTTTAAGCAATTGATTTTAATACTATTATAACTTATTAAAAACATTTTCAAATCATCAAAATAATTAAACACGTTACATTATCGAATTTTTGAATGCGTAAATCAGTTGACAAATAGTGGTTTCAATTCATGTTCTTGAATCTTGATCAAGTTTTAAAGATGAATCTGAGTTAAAAAAAAAAAAAATAGAAATTGAGTCAAACTAAACAAATAAAAACATAAAGCGATGGAATTTAGATGTTACGACAAACGTGCAAGCAAGTGTATGCTTTATGTTATTCATTGAATTGGAGCGTGTACGTACGTATATTCTTTTTGGTCACTAATTAATCTCCAATCATGCTCATAAAGCTGTACCAGCAAAAAAGGAAAACAGAGCCTATTTTATTAAAAACACTGGGAAGTCACTCACCACAATGCACCAAACATTTTTTTCATTTATATTATGGAATCATAATATTCTAATTTTTATAATCTTAAGCTAAAAGGGTTTATCTCCAAAGCCATTTTGTTTGTCTTAAAGCTTTCAGTTAAGCTCAATTGTATTTGCATGTTTGATATATATGTGTAATTGAATGCCACGTACACGTGTTGGCCACTATAAATGGTGACAGTGGAAGGAAAGCAACAAGTCAAAATTAAAATGGGTTCACCTTTTATGTCAAACGTTATGTGATTTCGAGATGTTAATTACATTAAAGCTTAATTGTCCACAAAGTTCTTTTCAATCGAAAAATGGCCAAATTGATGGATAGATTTGGTGACAATTGTCATTTTGTCCTCTTCCTGCTTTTCATTTTCTACTACAGATTTCCCATTGCCTATATACCTAACCGAAAGAGAAATAAAACCAACTTCCACCTCAATCCTTTTTATTCATGTTCATCATATAGAGTAGCAAACGATGCATATAAGCATAGAGAGATCTTTCTATTTTCACTTACACCAAAACAAAGCACTAACGTAAATGTTATTAGTTAAAATGGTTGTGCTGTCATATGACAGCATTTTTCAAATCAACCTTTATCATACAATAATTACCGTGCATTTTAATTAATACATAGAGCAACTGAATAAATTGTTAAACTTGCAAATTAGGGAAAAGTAAAATTTCTGAAAAGTAAAGTGTTTTCAGTCTTTCTAATTAGAAATTGTGTTAGAAAACTAAAATGAAATTTTTAAATTTGTCTTTAAAAAGTGAAAGTATCGTTAAAAAGAAGTCTTTTAAATATTCAAAATAG